TGCCGGCGTCCCTTCACCTTGCACCTGCGGGCTCGTGCCTCGGCTTCCCCGGCCGTGGGCTTTGCCCTTCACTCCCTGCCCTCCGCCGCGCCTGTCCTGATCTGAACTCCTGTCAGTGCCACGCTCCCTCGCCCGGGTCCCTCGGGCCTCAGCCTCTTTCGCGGCGCGCTCCTGGGGGAGAGTGGGTGGGGCCTGGACGCCCCTGTTTACATCCTGGGTAACAGCTCGGTTCCCTGGACTGGGGAGTGGGGAGAGTTGGTGGGGAGACAGGAGAGGCTTCTGCACGACGAAGAGCGGGATGGATGGCTCTCGGCCACACTCAACGTCTCCTCCTGGCCAGGAGGGTGGCCTGACCTCAGGTCCCGGCCTTCCGTCCAGTAATTCTTCAGCACTGTCTTTGCAGAGGATTGGGGGATATGCTTGCTTTCTGAAGCCACGGAGAGCCTCGCGTGGTGTGTCCTGCCGGAGAGCAACTTTGATCCAAATTGGGGGGGGGGCTTTACGCGCGTCTCTTGCTCAGGCTCGACAAACCCTCTGATCTGTGTCTTCCCCGTGATGACGCTGAGGGTGAGGTGATTCAGGGCACGGGGCTGCCACCCCTGCCTCGCATTTAGAGCTTGCAGTGTTCTGAAGTAGGGAGAGCATGTTCTCCAGCTTCTTTCCCCCAGAAATTGCTCTGTTGGGTTGTTTTTTCGAAAACTGTCTTACCTCTGCACTACCTGGATTTTGTGTGTTCACTGCACCTTCATTTCCACCTTAGGTACAGGAAGAAGGAATGGAACTGGAAGGAAGAAAATTCATTCCAGAGACAAAATAGCTCCCCTCCTCTGTTGTAGCTATTCCTCTGGCAATACAAACTTTCTGCTTTCAGTGAGTATTATCTTGGACCTATTTAGAGTAGTATTTTGTTGCTGTTTTCGGTTTTAGGCCTTTGGCTTGGATTTTAGGATGTTCTGTGTATTTGTTCATTTGTATTTTTCTACTTTCATGAGTGGGCCCGGATATACTGATGCGGTTCTTCCGGTTGTTCTCTTTTAAATTAGTTTAAATATGCAAAGGCAAGTTTATTTTCCATAATCCCTTTAGAGTGATCTAGATGGTGGTATAGCATTACGCTTTATGTTTCTAGTGCTTGAGGTTGGTTTCTCACCCTTCCCAAATTACTCACTTTTTTAAGACAACCAAAGAGGTTGTCGTAACTCTTAAGTTAATTAGCCTATGTTAATTTTCATCCTGATCAAGGTCATTACTGATTCTCTTATGTGGTTTTGGACTTCATAGATTTTTGGAATGTTTTGTCCCAAATTTGCTGTGGTGATATTATTTTCTTGAAAATCGCGTCACAGATTTGAAAATAATTTGAATTCTGCATGTAGACTTTAAACACAATTCTGAAAAAATTTTCATTACTGCTTCGTCCTCTTGAACTTATTAATGGTAGTGTGCTAATACTTAAGAGTGCTTTGCATCTCAGCCCCTCTGTGAGGGAGGCAGGAGACAAATGTTTTCATTTTACAAATGAAAGAACTGAGACCCTGAAAGATCTGGGACCTTGCCATAGGTCACAACAAGGAGCAGAGAGGTGAAAAACAAGTTTTGACTATATATAAGTTTTCTTTATACTAAATTGACGTGAAAATGAAGAGTTCTGTGCATTTTTTAAAATCTGTAAATCTTAAAAGCAATTGGCAATTGTTGTCTGGTGCCATGGCACATGACTATAGTCCCAGCTACATGGGAGGCCCAGGCAGGAAGATTGCTGGAGCCCAGGAGTTCAAGACTGCAGTGTGCTATAATCACACCTGTAAATAGCCACTGCACTCCAGCCTGGGCAACGTAGTGAAGACTTGTCTCACCAAAAAAAAAAAAAAAAAAAAAGGCAGAAAGAAAAAAAAGAAAGCAATTGTGTAGGTAGATGTGCGTTTTGCAGGAAAAGTTTTCACACACCAGTTGTTTTGGGTGTGTGTGTGTATAGGTGTGTGATGGGATTTCAAAAATAATGATTATTTGGAATGATTACCAGAATGTTTGTGGGTTTTTCATCTGACAGTTTCCTGGAATAGTTCCATAGTAAGACAGAGTTATAGCTCAGGTGCCATTTCAGTACCCATAATGTAATTATTAAATTGAATTTCAACTCAGCTCTCTGTCACAAAGGAAACAACAGCTTGTTCCCTTCTGTGGGAAGCTTGATTTGAGCAGACAGCTGAACACTAAATGGTAACAAGAAAATGCAGAGACCCCTTTTTTCTTTGCCACTTTCTTACCTCCCAGATCTTTTTGAGGTCATGCCTTTCTATAAACTGTTTGAGGCTTGTTTTCAAAAGGTGAATCTACATTTTTCCCCTCTAGGTTTTTCTAGATATTTAAAATTGATTATTGTTTGAAATCTAAATACTTTGGCAGTGTAGTTTCATTAATCTATATGTTAAGATTTCTTCAATAACGGTGTAGTTAGCAAGTTTAGTCTTTTTTTAGTGTATGTCTGTAAGCTCAAATGAGGACCCTAGTAAAATAGAACTCTGTACAACTCTCAGCCCAGCATCCTTTCTTTATGTTTTTAGAGTATAAGGTGGTTCTTAATAGAAGTGTATTATGAGGGGACTTCTCCGAGCTGTTATTCTTATAACACTACTTTATTAGTAGGGGTGGTATTGGCAATAGCAGGGACTTAGTTATGTGCCAAAGAACTGCCAGGTACTTGTCATTGAATGCTCACAAGTAACCCTCTGTGGTAGCAGGAGATCTGATAACTTGCCTGAGTTTGTTGGGATGTGAGCTTAGACTGCAACAAGCCCAGGCTCTGTCCTCTGAAGGTGGGAACTGCTCTTGGAATATGTGAACTTGTTTTTGGTGTACTTAATAGCCTTGGAAGAGACCCACAGCGAGGAAGGGAGTCCTCTCTGCCTAGCCAGCCACTTGAGTCAAGGAGTCCTCACATCCTTGTGTCTATACTGTTTTCATTACCTTGTTTGCAAACATTGACAACGTATGAGAAGTGGTTTATATTAATCCCTGAAATCATACATTGCCATCCAGGCAAATAAATTCTCCAGTGGGTAGCTCTTAACGTGCCCTGTTATTGAAAAGAGGAAGAAATACATTTTCTTCGGTGCGGTTAAGATTGGAAAACCTGGCCAGGCTTGGTGGCTCGGCCTGTAGTCCCAGCACTTTGGGAGGCTGAGGCGAGAGGATTGTCTGAGCTCAGGAGTTCGAGACCAGCCTGGAAAACTTAGTGAGACCTCGTCTCTACATTAAATCACAAAAATTAACCAGGTGTGGTGGCATGTGTCTGCGGTTCCAACTACTTGGAAGGCAGACAGAAGGGTCACCTAAGCCCAGCAGGTCGGGGCTGCGATGACTGTGAATGTGCCACTGCACTCCAGCCTAAGCGAAAAGAATGAGACTCCAACTAAAAAAAAAAAAAAAGGCCAGACTTTGGGAGACCGAAGTGAGGGGATTGCCTGAGGCCGCCGGTTCGAGACCAGCCCTGGCATCTTGGTGAGACCCTGTCTCTACACTAAATCAGAAATTAGCTGGGCGTGGTAGCACACACCTATAGTTCCAATTACTTTGAAGGCTGAGGTGGAAGGATCACTGGAACCCAGTGGGTTGACACTGGGGTAGCCACGAGTGTGCCACTGTATTCCTGCCTGGGCGACGGAGTGAGGCTCCAGCTCAAAAAAAAAAAAAAAAGGATGACCTGTCAAAAGAAAAGCCCTGAGCTGCCCAGTGTTAAGTGATACGCAAAGCCAGGTCTAGAACTGACCAGTTACTAGTGTATTTTAGGAAAGGTAACAGCTGCCAGCATAAATCGGACCAGGAGGTGAATTTAGGTGATAGTTGACCTAATTTTTAGAATGAATTACCCATGTTGTCTATCCTTTGTGCTATGAGTAATTATTAAACCATCCCTTGGTTTGGGCTGATTAGAGTTGACATTGTTGATAAGAATAAGTACTTGTAATTCAGTCACCCTCAGGTTCTCAGACTTTGCAGTCAGCACTTCACAGTGGAACCAAGGAACTAAAGATGAGATTGTGTATAAAAAAAGACAAACTTAAATACAATTACTAGGAGGTCTGTAGATAAGATTGTTGGTGAAAGTCAGCAGTGTGTGTGTGTGTGCGCACGCACGGTATATAGGGCACCGTGTTAGGTGCTGTTAAAGATAAAACACATGCCATGTGGCCTCTCAAGCTCAGGGTGATGCTGGTTTCCCCACAGAGAGGGGGAGGAAGAGTCACTCAGTGTCCTTTGAAGTGGGCCCCAATGAAGGTCAGGACCCAGTTGAGTGTTGTACGCCAGGTAGAGAGGAGAGGGTGTCCGATAAGGACTGGGCAGGAAGGACACAGCAGCATGGCTGAGGAAGGGGCGGTGACTTTCAGCGCTGAGGGCATACTTTATTGATCCTCGCAAGGTTAGGAGGTCTTAAGTGAAGAGATAAAAACAGTGGTTCCTGTGATTTCCCCTTACTGTTGCAGTATATGTATTATTTTCATCTGGCAGAAGTGAGGTTTTACCTTTCCCTTTTTTGAGTCAGAGTCTTACTCTGTCGCTCAGGCTGAAGTGCAGTGGCAGGCTCACAGCTACCGCAGCCTCGACCTGCTGGGCTCAGGTGATCCTTCTGCCTCAGCCTTCCAAGTAGCTGAACCACAGGCACACGCCACTGCGCCTGGCTGATTGGTTTATTGTAGAGACAAGGTCTCGCCAAGTTGCTCAGGCTGGTCTCAAAGCCCTGGGCTCAGGCAGTCCCAAAGTGCTGGAATTACAGGTGTGAGCCACCGTACCCAGTACACATGGTGTTTTAGAAGAGGTAGAATATGCCACTAAATAGAGTATTTGTTTTTAGCTGATCAGACAGATGGTTAGTCTGATCTACTAAAGTACTGTTTTTCTGAAGTATCCTACCTTGTGCTCACAAAGCCAGACTACTAGAGCACTGAATGTCTCTTACTCATTGTAGAACAGTCCTGAGAGCTGAGTATGAAACTACTTATTTGTGCTGAGATGCCTACTTTGTTGGAGTAGAGTTGGAAGAGTCTCAACCCGAAAGAAAAAACATGCATAGTGATTGGTGTTCTTTGAGAAGGCTTTGTTTACTACTAGCACCCTGGTTTACTTACGTGTAGTGTTTTTGTCTTGTTTGCTTTATGTTGGCAGAGAAATAAAATATTGATCCTCTTAAAACTGTGACTTCAAAATAATTAAGGAGAAGGATGAGAGTTGGAGATGATAGGTTATGCATCGTGAGTATAGATGAAGTACGGTTGGCCATGTGTTGAAAACTGTTAAAGATAGGAATTGGGTTCATAAGACTGTTTTTTCCACTTTGTTCATGTGTGAAATGTTCCGTAGATTTAAGGTAATGGAGTAAGTGTTTAAAGAAGTGTCGTCTAATACATTCTGATGCAGAAAGTCTCTAATTTTGCTTTTGGTCACTAACTGAGACTGTGGGTTGCTTGGTGGCCTCCAAAGGAATGATTGGGTCTCAAGAGCCACGAGGCTTTGGTTGATTCCATTTATTTCACATCAAGGTTTGGAAGGGCGTGGGGGGAATTGTTCTGTGTAAACAGTAGGTGTCCATTGTGAGCCTGCTCCCTGCAGATCCCTGACTTCGTGTGGTATGCAGGCAGAGTCTTCTAGCCTTGGGTTTGTCTGCATTGGTATGGTTTGAAAATCCCCTACGTTGAGCTGCTGCAGTGTGTTTTGCTGGTCAGGAGCTGGTGTCACCCACTCATGACATTCAGTTTTTCCCTCGGGTGTGGTTTGGTGTCATGTGAGTGGTGATTTTTTTTTTTTTCCTATTTGGTTTCATCCTCTCATTCTGCTTCTTAGAATTCTGGGGCTCTATAGGCAAAACCTCGGGCCCTTGTTCAAGCTCCAGTCCTCTGGAGATAATCCTGCTGTTCCATGTGACATGTGTCCTTAGCCCATTGCCCAGTTGCGTTCAAGTAGAGTCAAGTGAGGACTCAGGCCAGGGACATCCACTGTGGACCCAGATGATGATGGGCAGGGGATGCTGAGAATGTTCTGAGTGACGGCTAAGGTGTTGGCTTTGGCCTCGGTTTTTTATATTTTTTTGTTCCACTTTTGTTGACAAGATTCTGTAAACTATTAGATTGGTTCTTAGTATACCTTAGAATATTTGGGAGGTTTTTTGGGTCATGTCCTTAAGATCCAGTGGATCTTGGTAGGTGTGGATTGTGGTCCACATCCCAGCTCTGCTACTTAGTGGCAGCATGACTTTGGACTGTTCCCCTGACTCTTAATCCTGAGGTTCCTCCTCTGTCAAATGATGGCAATATTGTCTTCCTTAGGCGTGGCTTAGAGGATTCCACAAAATCCTGTTTGAAGAGTGCCTGCTCTGTGCGAGCTTTGTTCAAAGCCCTGGATGCACAGCCAAGTTGCTTGAGAACCCAAATGATAAGAGCAGCTAAATGTATTGATGCTTACACATACCAGTCGCTAGTTGAAGTTCTCTACATATCTTAAACTCAGTTAATTCACCTAGTAGCCCCAGGACGCAACTATGATTGTTATTCCTGTTTTGAGGAAACTGAGGCAGAGAGATTAACTTTGGGGGAACCAGGATTTGAACCCAAGCCATCTGGCTCTGGGGCAGCATTTTTAACCAAGGCACTCTGTTCTCTTTTAATCTAAATAAGGCCATGCTCGGTGCCTCACACCTATAATCCTGGCACTTTGGGAGGTGGAGGTGAGAGGATTGCCTGAGTCCAGGGGTTCAAGACCAGCCTGCTCAACTTGGTGAGACCTTGTCTCTACATTAAATCAAAAATTTAGCTGGGCGTGGTGGCGTGTACCTGTGTTCTAGCTACTTGGAAGGCTGAGGTGGAAGGATCACCTGAGCCCAGCAGGTTGAGGCTGCAGTGGCCGTAAGCATGCCACTGCGGTCCAGCCTGGGTGACAGAGTGGGACTCCAACTCAAAAAAAAAAAAAAATCTAATTAAGACTATGATGTCTATGCTCAGAAGCATTAGTCATTGAAGGAGGCTTCCTTCTATCAAGTACCGTGAGGTGTTCTTAAAAAGAAGCCCCTGTTTCATACCAGACCTTGAGGTGTGCAAGCTGTATCCCTTAGCTGCAGAGAATTTTACTGTCACTCGGAATTGCCGTATGTGTGTGTTTTGTTATGGGTGAGCACATTTGAAGAACATAAATAATACTTGTAAAATTCATCTATATTTCTTTGGTCAGAGTCTCACTCTGTTGCCCAGGCTGGAGTATAATGGCATTGGCCACCACAGCCTCAACCTGCTGGGCTCAAGTAGTCCTTCTGCTTCAGCTTTAACTACAGGTGTGTACCACCGTACCTGGTTGATTTTTCTTGATTTACCGTGGAGACGAGGTCTCGACAAGTTGCCTAAGCTTGTCTCAAACCCTTGGGCTCAGGCAGTCCTCTCACCTCTGCCTCCCAAAGTGCTAGGATTACAGGTGTGAGCCACCACATTCAACCAATTTTTATATCTTATTCGGGCTCAAATGTCAAGTTGCTTGTGTAGAAATAACGGCTTTGCAAATATGTATATAAATATTTAGTTTTATTTAAAAGGCTGACTGGGCAATGTAGCTCATGCCTGTAATCCCAGTAATTTGGGAGACCGAGATGGAAGGATTGCTTGACCCTGGAGTTCGAAATCAGCCTAGGCAACATAGCAAGACCTCGTTTCTACAAAATCAGAAAATTAGCCAGGCATGGTGTCATGTGCCTGTAGTCCCAGTTACTTGAGAGGCTGGGGTAAGAGGATCACATGTGCCCAGGAGGTCGAGGCTGCGGTGAGCCCTAATAATGCCACTGCACTCTCACCTGGGTGACAGAGTGAGACCCCGACTCAAAATAATAAAAATCAAGAAATCATCTAGGCATGGTGGCATGTGCCTATAGTCCCAACTACTCAGGAAGATCACTTGAGCCCAGGAGGTCAAGGCTGCAGTGAGCCATGGTCCTGCCACTGTACTCCAACCTGGGTGACCCTGACTCTAAATAAGTAGATGAATAAGAGGCTGAAGAACTTACAACTGAAGTACTGTGTTGTAGAGTGACACCTAAAAGATGATACGCTGCATGTGTAAGTCACAGGGAAAAATTTAGACAGAGCTGGGCTCGGTGGCTCAGCCTGCAATCCCGCGCCTTGGGAGGCTGAGGTGAGTGGATGGCCTGAGCCCGCGGGTTCGCAACCCGCCTGGGCAACTTGGCGAGACCTCATCTCTACAATAAATAAAAAAAATTAGCCGGGTGTGGTAGCGCCCGCCAGTAGTTCCAGCTATTTGGAAGGCTGAGGCGGAAGGATTGCCGGAGCCCAGCAGGTTGAGGCTGTGGTGGCTGGGAGCGGCCACTGTACTCCAGTCTGGGCGACAGAGTGAGACTCCAACTCAAAAAAAAAAAAGTTTAGCACAACACAATTCGATCTCTCTCTCTCTCTCTCTCTCTCTGGCCAAAACAATAATATGTATGATGACTTGAGAAAAAACTAAGTGTAATTTTCTAAAGTTAGCAAAATTTTACCAACTTTGGTATTATCAGCATGGAAATAAATAACTGACCTATTTTCCTGATTCTATTAAGGGTTGACACTTTTCAGATAACAGAAAAGAAGTCCTCGATCATGTTGGAGCTATACTCTTCTTTTTTTTTTTTTTTTGAGTTGGAGTCTCACTCTGTCACCCAGACTGGAGTGCAGTGGTTGCTCCCGGCCACCACAGCCTCGACCTGCTGGGCTCTAGCAATCCTTCTGCCTCAGCCTTCCAAGTAGCTGGAACCACAGGCGTGCGCTACCACGCCCAGCTAATTTTTGATTTTATCGTAGAGATGAGGTCTCACCAAGTTGCCCAGGTGGGTCTCGAACCCATGGGCTCAGGCAACCCACTCACCTCAGCCTCCCAAAGTGCTGGGATTACAGGCTGAGCCACCGAGCCCAGCTCTATACTCTTCTTAACCTTGGGCTTTCTAAGAAGAAAATAACTCCAGCAGACAACAAATACTCTTGCGGTTGTCCCGCCCATTGTGCCCTTCACAACATATCTTTCTTTAATAAGTCTACCTTTCTTAATTCATTAAAAGTTATAATGATAATTTTTAAAAATGTTTCACTCTCTGCACATCACCACCTGGGATGCTGTGGCTCTCTGGCTCGAGTGATGCCTCCTTTTGTCAAACTGGCGGCTTTGTAGCTGTCTGCCTGGCTGTGACAGGGCAGACATGGCTACCTCACAAAAGGGCTGTGAAGCTTGGGTCATTGGTGTGAGTGAAGGTTTCAGCCAGGTTGCAGGTTTCTTGAATGGGGTCTCAAAGGAGAAGGATGTGTCGAAGCCAGAGTGAGTTCAGCGGGGAGCCAAGGGGAGCGAGTGAGGGAGGGGCTGGCGGAGGGCTGTGAGGGCAGCACGGCGGCAGCCTTGTGTTGGGCTGAGCCCTCGTCAGAGTGACTGCCGGCTGCTTTTGTCCTTGCTGCGGTCTGGGCTTGAAAGTGTGCAGATACATCTACATTAGTGATGAGGAAAGTGCTGAGGGATGTGGTTAACAAGAAAAGGCAGGAAAGTTCCTCTGGAGTTCTTTAAAAATAGGATGGTTCAATTTGGAGCCTCTAAAAAAGGTAGAGAAAGCAGCCTGGTGACGAGCCTGGCAGGTCGTGTGCAGTCTTCCAGTCTGTCTCTAAATGTCCTCACCCGGCTTCCCACTGCTACCCTGCCATTTCCTCTGCCCCGAGGAGTCTGGGGAAGCGGGAACTGGTGTCGCCTGCCTTATGGAAAATTTGAGTTCCTCTTTAGGAAGAAGTTAGGGCTCTCTTCTCCTGGTCTGCAGCCCTCCTTGACTGTGTGAACTTGGGGGTTCATGTGGGAAAAGGAACGTGAAACTCTTAGCCTGTCCATCCGGCTTTCTTGATTTCTTTCCTCCTTTTAATGCACCGCTTAAACGAACGCTTAACAGTTTTCAATTTGCTTAGGGTTCTGCGGCATTCCAGACCTCGAGCACCGAATCAGGATGGGAAAAAGACGTTGTGTCCCTCCACTCGAGCCCAAGTTGGCAGCAGGCTGTTGTGGGGTCAAGAAGCCCAAGTTGTCTGGAAGTGGCACGCACAGTCACGGGAACCAGTCCACCACTGTCCCCGGCTCTAGTTCAGGACCTCTTCAAAACCACCAGCATGTGGACAGCAGCAGTGGACGGGAGAATGTGTCGGACTTAACTCTGGGACCTGGAAACTCTCCCATCACACGAATGAATCCCGCGTCGGGAGCGCTGAGCCCTCTCCCCCGGCCCAATGGAACTGCCAACACCACTAAGAACCTGGTGGTGACTGCAGAGATGTGCTGCTACTGCTTCGACGTGCTCTACTGTCACCTCTATGGCTTCCCGCAGCCACGACTTCCTAGATTCACCAATGACCCCTAGTGAGTAAATCCAGTGCCGGGGCAGCGTGGAGGGCTGAAGGCCTCGTTCTGGGCTCATTCTCTTGAGAGGTCTGCTGCTTGTGAAGCTTTAATACCATCTGAGGAAGGGGTAGTGGGAAGAGATTGATGTGAAGTGTCCAGACATTTAGAACATCCAACGATCCAGCAGTGGGCTGTAGGCTTGTTGCCAAAGTAATGTTCTGGAGATGAGAGTGGCGTTGTTCTTGGCTCTTCTGTTGGCTCCCGTGGCAGCAGGCAGGTGGCTTAGCCGCGACAGTGGCGAAGTCCCGCCACCACACCATGGGTGTCACATCCCCCTGGGTGCTGGCGTCCGCGTTAAGTGGACGTCTGATGGCAAGGTTAGAGACCAGGGTCTCACTCCTTGACGGCTGCGATGCTCTTAGCAGGGGCCCCCTAACTTTTTTCAGCCACCGTCCCCTGGTAATCCCATAGGGCCACCGGTACCCCATCAAGACAGGCAGAGTCTGCTTTACTGTTTACAGTTCAGACCCTGTTGCTTGTCCCTAGGCCTCTAATGGCGTCAGTGACTTAAGCGAGCAGTATGGGGGGGGCTCAGAAAACCCCGGAGTTTATAGAAAGTTGTGTATTGCATGTTTGAACTTCAGTCACTTTCAAAGTACTCTCCATTTGATGCAGTACACCTATCGAGATGCTTTTTCCACTGCTTAAAACAGTTTTTGAACCTGTCAATTTTGATGCCTTTTCGTGCTTCTGCCATTTTCTGCTTCACCTCTTCCATGTCAGCAAAACGTTGCCTTTTGACGACTTTTCTCATCCAGGGAAACAAAGTCACTTGGGGCAAGATCAGGTGAATAGGGAGGATGGGACACAGAGGTCATGCGGTTTCTGGTCAAAAACTGCTAACACTCAGCACGGTGTGGGCAGATGCACTCGTAAATCACCCATCCTGAAATGGGTAAATGTACTGAAAGAATTTTCAAAAATTCACTGAAGCTAAACACAGCCTCTTACAACAATGCTGACTGGTATACTGATGCCCATCAGTTCCTGGAATACTTAACCCTAGTGGGGGAGGCTTGTGCTATAAGGGACCTGCCCTTCGAAAACTAATTCTGGGGTTTTTTTTGGGTCCCCCTTCATGTGTATAAAGTATAAAGTAAAATGAAGAAACTCATGCCAGCATTTTCTTCTTTCTCAGAATTGGAAGCAGCTCTGAGCTGGCTTTGAAGAGCATTGCTGCTTTCTTGATATTTGTTTTTAGGGGAAGGTTTTGGAACATTTGTTGACCAGAATCATTCATTCCTTAACTGTTGGTTGCCATATGGAGGTGTGCAGGGCATGGAGGGGGTATGAAGAAAAAAGGCCTGCCTGTTCTTGGGAGACTTGTTGAGTTGGCAAATCACACATACACCAAACTATGAATGTAGCATGGGAAAGTTACTCCTCTGCGAGTGTGTCAGAGGAGAGGAAAATTTGCTGAGTTTTTGCTCTGAGATACTGTAATTGGAAAACTCCCACCTGAGCCCAAGTAAGAGCCAGGTGAGCCGAGCAAGAGAGGCTGCTCTGGAGACACAGGTTGCGACTTCCGTGGGGAGGGAAGGTTCAGGCTGTTGTTTTCAGATGCTGCATCTCCTTCCTGCAGGCAGTGAAAGCCTCATTTATCTTGAAGGGCTTTCGAGCAGACAGTAACTCTGGCTGGTGCTTTGCTGGAAGGAGAAGATGGGTGGTGGGAGATCTGCCGCGGGAGCCATGGTGACAAGGATCAAAGAAGTAGACAGCCTTGGGAGCTTAGCCCTTTGCACTCAGACATCTCGCAGGTCACCTGCCAGCAACTCGACCACTTTTTAGGAAAGGGAAAAACTCATCACTCCATGTTAAATGGCGTAGTGTTGGAACCAATTATTTTGTTGCAGTTATATTTGACTTATAACGGAATTTATGACAAAAAATCAAAGTTTTATATCTTACATTTTTCTAACGCGTGGTAATGTGTGAAATGGTCACCGACATGCATTGCGTGTTCATTGATAAATGTTGTGCAATAGTAATTTGTTTGACGTCTTCTACTTGGTGTTTTTCTATTTGAGCAGACAATGCAGTCTCGTTTTCTTCCTCCTGCATTAATAATATGTAATTTACTGTCCATTCTGTGTACCACTGTGAAAACACCTTACACATTCTCTTTCTATGTAATGCCTGCTGACATTTTTAAACATATCTCAGTATATATTCCATCTCTTTATTTGCTTTTTTGTGCAATTTGAATGGAAAACTTCAAGGAAACATACATTAAAAAAAATTGCACTGGCATATGTTTGCCCTATATAATTACTAGCAATCTCTTTATTTCCCCAAAGAGGGGACATCTGAGTGGTTAGCTAGATTTACAATGTCCCCTTAGAGGGAACATCCGAGTGCAAAGGACTGTGTTGCCTCTTAGAAGTAAACAATCAAGAATCTAACTGCACTCCAGCCTGGGCAACAGAGTGAGACTCCAACTGGAAAAAAAAAAAAGAATCTAAGTGATAAGCACATTGGGAGTGTGGAGGGATTGCAGGGAGAAGAGACAGCTCTGTAACCTCTTTCTAAAAAAAAAAAATCAGTTACCATCAATCCGATGTAGCCTAATGAGGTGTGACTCTGGCCTAGAAACAGAAAGTGGCAACTCCTAATAAGAAGCTTTCTTAAGACTTTTTTTTTCTTTTCTGAAAACTTATGGCGGGGTTTTCAGTTGAGGCATGTGGTCATGAAAGGTAGAGCTGGACATGTGACTACTGGTAAAAACGGAGTAAAGAGAATATGGAGAGTTAGAAGAAGAAGTTGAGCACTGGCACAGGAAAGGAAGACAGTGCATCAGTGCAGTGGCAAAGTGAATTAAAGCTGTCAACGTGGAATGTAGGAACAGCAACACAGCCTGTCTTCAGGTTGCCTCTCAGGCTTCTCTCTGTTCCCAGGCAGGAGCTCTGCCACTTCCAGAAAGGCAGAGCGTCCCTCAGGCAGTCAGCAATTCAGGAAACCGTCCTTTTGGGCAGTAAAAGAAATGAACAGGGACATAGCCAGAAATTTTTGTTCTCATCCATAATTAATTTGGGACTGGAGAATGTTTTGTGTTCTGCTTTTTTTTAGTCCGCTCTTTGTGACATGGAAGACAGGGCGGGACAAGCGGCTTCGTGGCTGCATTGGGACCTTCTCAGCCATGAATCTTCATTCAGGACTCAGGGAATACACGTTAACCAGGTAATGACACCAGACATTAAGAACGATAGATAGGCTGGAGTGGTGGCTCACAAGTATAATCCCAGCACTTTGGGAGGCCGAGGTGAGAGGATTGCCTGAGTCCAGGGGTTCGAGACCAGCCTGGGCAACTTGGTGAGACCTCGTCTCTACAATAAATCCAAAAATTAGCTGGGCGTGGTAGCGTGTGCCTGTAGTTCCGGCTACTTGGAAGACTGAGGTGGAAGGATCACTGGAGCCCAGCAGGCCGAGGCTACGGTGGCCGTGAGCGTGCCACTGCACTCCAGCCTGGGCAACAGAGTGAGACTCTAACTCAAAAAAACAAACAAACAGATAAATTGACTAGAATTGTAAAAAACTGCCTGGCTTTATTTCTTCTAAGTGATAGATCTTGAATATCCTTTTCATAATCCACAAATGTAAGGACTTTAATCTGAAGAGACATTTATAAGTTCGAGTATAGACAGTTGATAGCATTGAGTTGTTTTTAATGTGTTCTCCACTTAAGATTCATAAATATGTAGGCTCTGTGGCACATGGTGTTGGCTTTCAACTCCAGAGCAGCCTTACATCTCTTTTCTGTCCCCCTCCAGTGCACTTAAGGACAGCCGATTTCCCCCCCTGACCCGAGAGGAGCTGCCTAAACTTTTCTGCTCTGTCTCCCTCCTTACTAACTTTGAGGATGCCAGTGATTACCTGGACTGGGAGGTGAGAACAGCCGCATTTGGAACTCTGCATCTCTCGTTGCATTTGGGTTCGGGTTAGTACATGGTAATGTATCTCCTTCATTGAGAGAGGGTATAAGAATGTGAAAGCTGAGTTTGGAACCAGCTATGGGCAACATAAGGACAGAGAGGTGCTATTATATCCGGAGTAGGAAGAGACATAAATGTAAAGCTTTTCTTCTACCATTTCTTCCTGGTCCACTTTGTTCCACATCCTTCTCCCATTCTAATAAGAAATAATGGAGCTGGGTACAGTGGTTCACATCTTTAATCCCAGCACTTTGGGAGGCTGAGGTGGGAGAATTGCTTGAGCCCAGGAGTTCGAGACCAACCTGGGCAACATAGAGAGATCTTGTCTCTACAAAAACAAAAAATAAGCTAGCCGGGCTCAGTGGCTCAGCCTGTAATCCCGTGCTTTCGGAGGCTGAGGTGAGAGGATTGCCTGAGCCTGCAGGTTCGAGACCCGCCTGGGCAACTTGGCGAGATCTCATCTCTACAATAAATCAAAAAATTAGCCGGGCGTGGTAGCATGCTCCTGTAGTTCCAGCTACTTGAAAGGCTGAGGTGGAAGGATCGCCAGAGCCTAGCAGGTCGAGGCTGCGGTGACTGGGAGCAGCCACTGCACTCCAGTCTGGGTGACAGAGTGAGACTCCAACTCAAAAAAAAGTAATAATAAGCTGGGTGTGGTGGCATATATCTGTAGTCCTAGATACGGAGGCTGAGGCAGAAGGATTACCCGAGCCCAGAAGTACAAGACTGTGGTGAGCTGTGATTGTGCCAGCTCTCCAGCCTGGGTGACAGAGTGAGATTCCGACTAAAAAATATTTAAAAAAAAAAAAAGATAAAAGAAAGTATTCCAGATCCCTCTTGGTAAAAGTTTTTTTAGGAATCAGATATGAAGAATCATAAACCCAGATAAAAACATTGTGATGTGTTCATTTAATGTAGCCTATTCAAAATTACAACGAGTTATTTAAAGAACGTATTTATACTGCCTTCATTTTCTCAGATAGGTGGCTGCACATATACTCAGTGCTTCGCTAAAGCTCAGCTCTCTTTGGCCTCTATACCTGAGAAGAGTTAGTCATAAAAAGCAAGTTCTTTTTCCAGACCTGGGTCAAGCTGGTCAGGGTACAGTGCTGACTTACATGTGGGAACTGAAGTTTCATTTGAATAAGTAAATGCCATTTCCTTGGTTGTATTTTTCTGTAGGTAGGGGTCCATGGGATTCGAATTGAATTCATTAATGAAAAAGGTGTCAAACGTACAGCCACGTATTTACCTGAGGTTGCTAAGGAACAAGGTGAGTTGGACGAATGGGATTTTGATGAACAGTGCCATTCGCACTGGTGCTAATTAAAGGGCAAGAAAGTGAAGCGTGTGATCTTTCAGCCCACCTACAACTAAAAATGAGTGCCTCCCAGCACTTTGGGAGGCTAGGGTGAAAGGATTGCCTGAGCCCATGAGCAAATTGCCTGGGCTACTGGGCGAGACCTCGTCTCTACAATAAACTGAAACATTATCCAGGCTTGTTGGCACGTGCCTGTAGTTCCAGCTACTTGGAAAGCTGAGGAGGACGATTGCCGGAGCCCAGCAGGTCGAGGCTGTGGTGACTGTGGGCGTGCCACTGCACTCCAACCTGGGCAAGAGAGTGAGACTTTGACTCAAAAATAGATAGATAGAAACTCAAAGATAGATAGATAGATAGATAGATAGATAGATAGATAGATAGATAGATAGATAGAAAGAAAGGAGTGAGACTTTGACTCAAAAATAGATAGATAGAAACTCAAAGATAGATAGATAGATAGATAGATTAGATAGATAGAAAGAAAGAAAGAAAGAAAGAAAGAAAGAAAGAAAGAAAGAAAGAAAGAAAGAAAGGAGTGCCTTTCTTCTTCTCAGTACCTATACCTATCAAATTCCCATAGAACCAGGGGTAAATTCCCAAAGGTCAAGAAGCTGGGAAAAGAAAAGGGGTAAATATTTTCATTACTTGCTTGCTTATTTCAAACACTTCAGCAAGTAGTTTGTTTCTTGGCCCCCTAATCTGCAGTGGCAGTTGTAGCAGAATTCTAGTAATCAACCTGTCCGTATTATAAAATTCATTATAAAGAGAAGTTGACTGTGTCAGTAGGTATTGAACTTCTGATCATGAATCCTGAAACGGTGTTTTACATGGCAAAGTGTACAAACATAATCCCTACTGTTTTTAACAAACTTGATAGTAAGTTCTGATAATGGAAATATTAAAAGGCAGGAAGTGGGTTGGGCAGGTTTTCTATTTAAAAGACTGTCTAGAAGAATGCCTTTACATGTTGCTTGTACTTTTTGTGATATGTAACTCAGTTTTCTTTCTTTTTTGGAATTAGTTTTGTTTTTGAAAATAATATGTGAAACAGTATTTGTTGAGTGTGAACCTGGAATAGAGAAAAATATCCAGTTAAGTATATATCAATGAACTAATCATGTGGGAAGCGATTGATTGCCTTGTTGATTTCCACTGTGGTTGTGTCTAAACTTTTTCAAAAGCAGTGTGGATGTGGCCATCTCTGCCTTTAAGCCATCTCCTCGAAGTCATAAATCTAACACACTTCTGTATAAGGAGACACCATAATTGTTATATAGTGGTGAGATATAAATGATGACTTAGATAAATAATCAAATTACTTTTGCTGTTTGAAAGTTGGCTGAGAAAATACAAGCCTGGGCAACTTGACAAGACCTCTTCTCCACAAAAAATCAAAAAATTAGCAGGGCTTGGTGGTACATGCCTGTAGTTCCAGCTACTTAAAGGCTGAGGTGGAAGGATCACCTGAGCCCAGCAGGTCAAGGCTGCAGTGGCCATGGGCATGCCACTGCACTCCATCCTGGGCAACAGAGTGAGACTCTAACTCAAAAGAAAAGAAAAGGAGAAAGTTAAAAATGTGCGGCACCTACTACAGTGATTTAGGGGATTTTCTTTGGTTTTTCAGTTTGATGTACTTGGTTTTATCTGTTAAGAATGTGTAAGAACACACCTTGGAGGCTGAGGCGAGAGGATTGCCTGAGCTCAGGGGTCCAAGACCAGCCTAGGCAACTTGGTGAGACCATGTCTCTACAATTAAAAAAAAGAAAAAAAAGAATGTGTGAGAACAGGCTGTGTGTGGTGGCACATGCCTGTGGTACGCACATAGTACTTGCCAACACACAGCACTGCCAGCTCCTCAGGAGGCCGAGACAGGATTGCTTGAGTCCAAGAGTTCAAGGTAGCACCTATGAATAGCAGCATCACTCCAGCCTGAGCAGCATAGAACAACCCTGTCTCTTTATTAAAAAAACACATGCACAAAAAATGTGCAAGAACAATACAGCAGTATATGTGTGAACAACTTTACTGACCTTCCTACTGGAACGGCTTCCTTCCTGCTATAAGTTCTTTACCACAGAAAACAGGACTCTTTCTAGAAATCAGCAAACTGAAGGAATGCCATGCCAAGGAATACAGGCTACAGAATTTAAATTCCTCTCTTCCTGCAGAGCAGCCCTGAGTATGAGCATGAGGCCACAGGCCCAATCTAAGTTAGCGCCATGTTTGTTCCTAGATAGTTAAGCTGAGGTAACATCTATCTGACAGGATGCAGGAGCAGGGAGCCTGGGATAGCCATCGTGGCATACGTCGGGCTATCAACGCATGTCTGCGTCTCCACGGGACTGCCTGTGAGGTAGACGGGGCCCAGGTACATGGGGGGTCAGTACCTGGGGCTTCCTGTGTTCTTAACAGACTTGGCTGCCTCGAGTCCCCTTTCTCCTCCCGCATTGTCCGTATGCGAGCACGTCTTACTCTTGTGTGATTGTGTGCTGACCTCAGTGTGGCTTCTCTTTTCAGACTGGGATCAGATCCAGACAATAGACTCCTTGCTCAGGAAAGGTGGCTTTAAGGCTCCAATTACCAGTGAATTCAGAAAAACGATCAAACTTACCAGGTAAGCCACTGTCTTGTTTTCCTTGTCATTTTAACTTAGTTGGGTTAGATGGGGGATAATCTTGATGGGATGAGGAAAGAACAAGTTTTGTCTGCTAATGTCCCTAAACCAAAGACATATGGATGAGGGGTCAGCTTTGAGGAAGCAGTGGCAGCAAAGGCAGAGACTCTCCCTAGCATCCTGTGCGTCTCCACAGCTAAGCTGACGGCAAGGGTGGAGTAGGGTTTGGGCCTGCTGAGCAGGCATCAGATGTCTTCGCCAGGCCAACTTGTTGGGAGCCTGACGTTAGGAGAGAAGGTGCTGCTTCCTGACCACACGTGCACTTAGGTTGCAGGAGACGCAGGAGAGTCAGAAAATGCTTTCCACAAAAGGTTAAAAGGAAACGCCTCCCCCGGGGGGAGAGTACTTTTATGAGGAGGCTGCCTGGTAGAGTTGGGTGCACGTAGACTTGGGGTCTGAATTCCAGCTTGACCACTTATTAGCTGTGTGACCTGGGCCAGTTATTCCACCTCTCTGAACCTGTTTCCTGTCTGTAAGACGTGAATGATAGTTAACCTGAGGGTTGTTTTAGGATGTGGTAAGGTAATGTATGGATAATTTCTAGCCCAGGGCCAGGCAATCTTGTAGGTGATCAGAAGATGTCAGTTCTCTTCTCATTGCTATTGAACTCGGAAACACTGAGAGGTTTAGCTTCTGTGAGCGTCTGTTGGGCCCCTCATCTGTAAAATGCTGAATAATCATATATAATCTCACAGGTCTGTTTGGAAGATGACCCAGTGTTTTTTAAATGCTTTGGAGTCCAAAAATTTTTAAAACAACAACAACAAACACTCTTCAAATACAAAGCATTATTATTATTATTACTATTATTATAATTTATTTGAACAGCCATTTCCCTGTCAAAATTCAGGAATAATCACCTTGCAGTGGAGGAGTGATTACAGTGGGAAAGAGATGGCTCTGGGTAAGGATTGTCACACCCAGCTCCTGTGGTCTGTAGTAGGCTCCATAGGTTTGTAACACCCCATGCTTCGCATCCTGACTCATGGCTCTTCCAGAGCAAAGCCAAAGTGCTATGAATTCTGTTCTGATGATCCTGTGATATGGCATATTCATCTGGGGATTGAGACCTGTCCTCCGTAGCCCCAAGGATCCCATAACCTGCTTCATCAGAATCTGACCCAGAATTAGATATCTGTCTCCCTTTTAGTTACGATAACTTGTTTGTTGCTCTTCTGCAAATTCAGATTGCATTTCTGTCAAATTTATCACATTTTAACCTGAAAATAGATATGCAGTTTACACTGGGTTTTGGTGCAGCCATCTTCCAATCTGCCACCCGTGTAATTCGACTTTGAAAGTCTTCATCTGGACCCCATAGCAGATTGCTTACAAGCCTAACGATAAGCATATGTAGTGTTTAAAGGTGGGATGTGCCGAGTACATTCTCAGGGGTGAATTGTGATTGTGCTTTTTCATCTTGTTCATCTGTAATAAGAACATTGTTTTCTTGTGCTGTCTTTCATTTTCTGTAAGTAAGATTGCTCTTGGTCTTCCATTTTATTCCTTCAAAATGTGGAATAAGCTTTTGGTTTTCTCTGCTAAGTGACTTCAGAAAATGAAGCGCTGGGGTTCCTAATACCCTTTTGTGCTTCCTCATACAGGTACCGAAGTGAGAAGGTGACAATCAGTTACGCAGAGTATATTGCTTCTCGCCAGCACTGTTTCCAGAATGGCACTCTTCATGCCCCGCCCCTCTACAATCATTACTCCTGACACACGGCTGCATGACCAGTCCCACCCCCCTGTGGCCACCAATGGCTATGACATCATTGGAGCAGATGCCTCCTCTTCCTGGTCCAGTTACTTCTATTACTGCACCATTTTATGATGCTAGCTTCCGTTGCCAAGTCTGCCTCCCACTGACTGAGGGGGGGTGGGGTTACATTGAATGAAACAGAACTTGAGGGGCCCAAGCCTTATCTCAGCCTTTCCTCAATATGGGGTTCCGTTGGATTGGGGCTCCTCCATGACTAGTGAGGATTATCACAGGGTTCAGAAGACCCTTGTCTGGTATTGCCACATGTGTGTTGGCCACACACTGGAAGCTGGAACTGATGATCCATGAAGGCTTAACCCACATACACCCCTACAGCCTCCCCAGATCAAGTAGGTATATTCCCCTGGCAGTCTGGGCAACGGAGACCAACAGAAACATTTTTAGGTTGTTTTAAATTCCTTTTTTTAAACTCCCAGTTTATTGCATACCAAGAGTTGGTTACAACTTCCATGCTTCATAAGTGGACGCCACGTTAGGGTTGGACGTGGGCACCATGAGTCTTTCGAGGCTCCTGGACAGAGACCCACATCAAGATCGGAAGCCCTTTGGATGGCGTTGCAGATCTCATTACTCAATAAGCCGTGAAGGTTTAATTGTCATCCCAGTCTCAGTTGGATTTCTGGCACTTTTCCTGCACATTGAGTCTCCTGGTATTGCACAGAGCTCTGTGGTGTAGCCTGCTGAGGAACGGAATGGAGATGCCCACGGGAGGTCCTGATGTCATCACTGCACACAGGTGTGAAAGGAGAGACCTCTTCCTCACCACCCGGCTACCTCACTTGTCTACTGGTAGCAGTGCCTATAGCTGGACCTAGGTTCTCAGAAGCGTAGACGTGCAAATAAGCAGTTGGGTTGGGCTTTAGAAGACACGCTGTCATGGGGGAATCCAGGGTCTCTAAGCTGGTTTTCTTTTCAGGCAAACATCTTGAGGGACCTCTAAGCGGGGGAGTTCCTCTTTCTGGTTTGCCTGCAGCAGTGGGAAGACTGTTGATGATTCAGTCCTTTACAGGACTTTACAACAAAGCTGTGTAATTACACAAGGTGAATCTTTATCTTGCCTGACATGCTGGGAATCTTCACCCCACCAGGGCAAATTTCCAAATAGCTCATTTTATTCTAGCTCTTACAAACTTTCATGTGACATATTTCCCTTTCCCGTTGTTGCTGATTTCCAAATAGCTGTCAGCAAGTTTTTCCTCCCTCTTGCCGATTCTTCACTCATTGGTGGCAAAGTTCATAGAACTAGGGGACTTGGAAGAGGCTTTGAAAACATTGTCACAAAGGCACTGCTAAGATGATTCACAGGAAGAGTGGCCAGTTGGAAGAAAGGTTCCTAAGGATGTTACACTGGTTTTCAACAACATGCTTAGAGAACTCGACGAGGATTGGGTGTCAACCCAATGAACACAACGTTTTGATTTAATTTATTTTTCAAAGTTTATGTGGTGATGGTGTGGCTTTCTGAAATGGGCAAATATTCAAGTCAAAAGATCTTTTGCATTTCTTCTGCCAGGAGTGGGGGGGAGGGGCGAGGACACAATCTGGAAGAAGACCATGTGTGAAGCTTCTGGGAAGGGATGGGCAAGGGTGAGTGGGTTTGCTTGGCACCGTCCTGTGCTGCTCATGGGAAACATGGGTGGCATCAGGGTGCCCAGGCCGCAACCTCCCCACTGCTGTGCTGGGTTCCTGCAGCCTGCCATGTTTCCCTTGAAGATGAAGGGGTCATTTCATGGTTTCCTGCTACTGAGAATAAATGTTTTGTTAAAAACAGATGTGATAAGTTACTCTTAGGTGCCATGGGTTGATGTCAGGGTGGCCAGCTCTGGACTCAGCCACCCACCTCCAATTTGTACAACAGTATTGATACATAGGGCTACACTCATTACTGTTCAAGTGTTCTATGTTAAAAGTTGTGTTTAATTTCTAAAGATTAAAAAAGCAAAAAAATGGTGCTAAACTTTCACCCCTGAGCACGCTCGGTGAGACTGGTCATGCAAGCATTTACAGTGCCATGCCCCTCAAGCCTATTTTTTCTTAGAAATGTCGCCCTACTTGTCTTCCCCAATGTGTAGTATGTTTTTATTTTATTTTATTGAGGGTGGGGTAGGATACCTGCCATTTAAGAAGGTGAGTAGAAAATTTAAAACCCAAGAAAAGGGGAAAAAAAATCAGTGCACAAGAATCAGGCTGGTTAAGCCCAGCACCACACTGAAGTGGGCTCAGTGGTTTTTGGAGTGAAGAAGCCTTACTCCATGCACATTCCCTCTTGCTCCCACACAAGTCCAGCAGTGGAGATGCTTGAGTTCCTCTTGCCTTGCCAGGGGACTTGGGAGTCGACCAAGGAAAACTATTTGGCCCCATAAGGCGTGGGCACCGTCAGTGTCCCTCCCGAATAGGGCCTAGTCAGGAAGTGGTCTGGAAGTGTACGGTCATTGTTGCCTCATGAAAATTGTGGCAGGTGGCTCTCAGGAAAAATACCAAGTCTGGATCATGCATGTGGCAGCTTTGATAGGGAGATGACAGCTCCGAACTGGAACTGAACTGCCTTCCACACGCTTGACCAAAGCGGTGATGAGGGTGGCCAGTACATGCAGTATGGGTGGTAGGTTTAAAGAAAAGGGAATGTTTTCTGCTACGAGTTTCCCTTGTCCTTGGGCTGCTCAGGCTGGACACTAGGTAACCACTGTTTCCAAGGAACCAGCCCAACTTCGCTGGCTTGGTTCGGAGTTCGTTTCATCCCTAGCTGTGAGTGCCTTTTGGTCTGGAAAGTTGGCTTGTCTCATAATACCCACAGCTAGGACATTCTCTCTGTAATTATGAATTGTCCTTGTTTTACATTAAAAGAATGTCTTTGATCACTAGAGTTTGTCGGTGTTGGATTGTTTCTACTGTGAGATTCTTAAACTTTTTTGCTTCATAATATTAAAACAACTCATATTAGAGACCCTTTCAATGTGAAAGGTTTGTAGTTGAGATGTTACATATATTTTATTGTTTATAATAAAAAAATCATCTATACAAAATAAGTCCTGGGTGTTAATTTTAATATTTTGCACAAGATCTGTTTTCCATGTGTTAACATCTACGATTTCACTAACTGTTGATGTTATTTTCTATTGAGATTCTGGAGCCTAGGGAGCTATGTGTTCTTTTCGTTTATTTTGTTCTTATTTCCCTGAAGCAAGAGACTATATGGCCTTCAGTGCAAAGACTTCAGACCAGTTCTTTGTATTACACTTGGTTGCCTCTTGGCTATATAACTTCTGAGTGCAAATCATTGAACTCTTTAACAAAGTATTGTAGAGAATAAATCATAATGGATAAATTGTTCTCTGTCCTTTTTCTCGAACCATGTGCCTTCAGTTATATGGAATAGTAACCGATGTCTTATTTTTAAAGGCAGCCAACAAGATAGCATTCAGACAGCTTGCATAGTTGTGTGGTGTTCTGTTACCCTCAATAACTTTGCACTTGGGTATCTTTGTGGTTGGTGGCAGTGCCACTGGTTTTTTGGAGCTGTTTCCTAAGCAGTCATTCATGAACCCTCTGACTTTGGTTTTTCCAGAAAGGTTCATCATTTACATTAGATTTTCAAGTGAAGCTGGACACGCCTGTAACTCACGCTGTAATCTCAGCACTTTGGGAGACTGGAGGATTGCTTGAGACTGGTCTGAGCAACATAGCAAGACTGTCTCTACAAAACAAAACAAAAACAGCCAGGCATGGTACACACCTGCAGTCCCAACTACTTAGGAGGCTGAAGTATGAGGAGCACTTGAGCCCAGGAGTTTGAAGTTGCAGTAAACTGGTCACACCATTGGGCACAGTGCCTCATGCCTGTAATCCCAGCACTTTGGGAGGCTGAGGCAAGAGGACTGCTTGAGCCTAGGAGTTTGTGACCAGCTGGACAACATACTGAGGCCTCATCTTTGTAATTAAACCAAACTTGCTTTAAAAAAACCTAAAAACTTGTCAAGAGAAAACACTCAAGTTTAAGGTATGATTTGGTGATGTTAATTTAAAGACCCTGGGACATGCTGATGCAGTTGACCTAACTGGAAAAGTTTATTTTTAGATGGCCCAGAAAGGAGGAAATGTGTTTAGAGAACACAGTCTGGGTGACAGAGTGAGACTCCAACTCAAAAAAAAAAAAAAAAAAAGAATAGCTGATTGAGTACCACCCACACACAAACCTTCCCTTTTGCGATTAAATACAGTCTCGAGATACAAAGGGATGGAGTCTACGGGGGTTTTGTGTGATTCTGCAGAGCCCTTGAGATGTATGAAGATCTCTAGAAGGATGTCCAGACAGGAAAGGTCTACCTATCCCGAGGCAGTGTGACCTGAGAGTTCATCCACCCTATTGTGCTGTGTTGGCACTGTTGACTGCTTCTATCTGAGAAGCCCTCCCTCCTGGGGTCATGCTTTGCTTGCTTCAGTGCCCGTATCCTTCAGGAAGGCTGCTCTGATTGGAAGGACTGAGCACTGCCCTTTTTCTCCATGTCTAGAGAAGCTTAAGCTTCCTTTATACGCCAGCACTGGAAAACACCACAGCCATCTGGCCACCGCACCCTGTGCTGGGGCCTGGGCAAAGCATTTCCAGCAAGCTGCCTTGGCAATTCATAGTCTTGTCACAAAGCAGGAAATTAGATTTGGAGTAGAAAGTAATACTTGTCTGCCTCATAATGGCAAGAACAAAATTGAACCTGGGTCTGTTGGATTCCTAGCCTGTGAGTTTCCAGTTGTCAACTGCCTTGGACTATTTATTTAGTGAGAGCCAGGGTGTGACCAGATTGGCCAGGCTGACATGGGGTTGGTGTGTTCCGATTGGCAGCAAGGACTTGAGTGACTGACATGAGATCTCCGTCTTGCTGTTTCCCTGGTAGTTTTGAAATTGGGGGGGGTCACTTGTTTTTAAATTTGGGTGGCATGCAGAACCCTGTGAACAGGAAGAGAACAAACAAGCACCAGGGAGAGACCCTAGAACCCTTGGCTTGAGTTTCATTTCCCAGTGAGGAAAATTGAGACTCAGAGGGGACAGGACTTGTACTGGATTCCTCAGGACACTACTGTGGTTCTTTGTACTGTATCAGTTCAAAGTGAAGTTCTTCACCCAGCCCTCGGAATAGTGTTTCAAAGTCAAGGCCAAGGCCGCAGACCCTAGTGTGCTCTGGAAGCAGCTCTAAATCACCTCTCCCACCCCCATTCCCACAAGAAAAAGCACCACTGATCTCTGACCCGTGGGCTCAGGTCATCCACTTGCCTCAGTCTCCTTAAGTGCTGGGATTACAGGCTGAGCCTCCAAGCCCGGCCACCTATTAACTCTTTATTCCTCTGGTTTCCTTTGTAGCCTCTACCACCCTAAGCCTAAGCCTAACCCTAACCCTTCCAGCAGCAGGTGACAAATTAGTTTTTTATTTTAGTTGGAGTCTTACTCTGTTGCCCAGACTGGAGTGTGGTGACATGATCACAGCTCACTGCAGCCTTCACCTCCTGGGCTCCGGTGATCCTTACACCTCAGCCTCCCGAGTAGCTGGGACTACAGGTGCACGCCACTATGCCCATTCAGTTTTTTAAATTTATTGTAGAGACAGCCTGGGCAACTTTGCAAGACCTCGTCTCAACAATAAATCAAGAAATTAGCCGGGCGTGGGGGCGCGTGCCTGTAGGGGGCTGAGGTGGGAGGATCGCCTGAGTCTAGCAGGTCGAGGCTGTGGTGGCCGAGAGTGTGCTGCTGCACTCCAGCCTGGGCAACAGAGTGAGGCTCCAACTTAATAAGAAGAAAAAGATAAAGTGAGATCTTAGCAGACACGAATATGTTTCTTAGATTTAGAAATGTGATAATTTGGCTGGGCTTGGTGGCTCAGCCTGTAATCCCAGCACTTTGGGAGGCTGAGGTGAGTGGATTGCCTGAGCCCGCGGGTTCGAGACCAGCCTGGGCAACTTGGCGAGACCTCATCTCTACAATAAATCAAAAATTAGCTGGGACTGGTAGCACGCACCTGTAGTTCCGGCTACTTGGAAGGCTGAGGCCGAAGGATCGTTGCAGCCCAGCAGGTCCAGGCTGCGGTAGCTGGGAGTGTGCTACCGCACTCCAGTTGGGCGACAGAGTGAGACTCCAACTCAAAAAAAAAAAAGAAAGAAAAAGAAATGTGATAATTTGTCCAAAATTAATTTGTATGTGTATCTCCAGAAGAAATGTGTTGGGTAAAATAACAGTAGGTTATATAGTATTGTCAGAGCTTGTTAACTATTTCAAAGTACTTTCCTTTCCTGCACAGTTCATCAGAGTCACAGGACAGATGTCCTGAGGAGTCCATGGTCCTGCATCAGCTGTGGGGCAAAAGTGGGTCTGGAACTCAGCGTTGGCTCTTTCTTCCATCTGTTCGTCCACAGGCCTTTACAGAGCACCTTCTACTTGCTGGACCTTACAGCGCGCTGGTCCAACGCCTAGCTGTCTGTACACACACAGTAGGAGAGAAGTCGACAGGTGACGGGAGAAAAAGGAGAACAAATCATGCATTCATGGTACCTCACAAGTTGTTGAGTCCGTATCATTTCCGTTCACTAAGTTACCGTCTTAAACACCTCCGGGTAAGGCACTGGGGTTAAAAGATGAATCAGGTGCAGATTTGTCCCCCCAGGAAGCTCACCAAGAGTAGGTGGAAACAGGCCTGGCAAATGGGATGAGAGAAAGTCAAACAAAGTGCCACGAGAGGATACAGAGAAGAGGTCATTTCTAGGTGGGGGAGATGAATGAGCCCCAGAAGGCTCTGGGGGAGGAACAACCTGGGAGTCGTGCCTCGACATTTAGTCAAACAGAAAGCGGCAAGAGCATTTATAAGCTATGGCTCTGTTTTTAAAAAAGGCGGGGGGGGAGAAAAAAGTACGTAAAAGGAATATTCCCTTTTGAGTCGGAGTCTCGCTGCACCGCCCGGCCGGAGGGCAGGGGCACGCTCCCGGCCCCTGCAGCCTCAGCCCGCCGGCCTCGGCGATCCTCCCGCCTCAGCCTTCCGCGGAGCCGCAACCCGGCGCGCGCCGCCACGCCCGGCAGTCTGTCTTGACTTACGGGGGCGACGCGGTCTCGCCGAGTTGCCCGGCCGGTCTCGAGCCTCGGCCTCCCGCTCGCTGCGTGTCCTACGTGCAACCCGAAGGCCCCCAGACGGGGGAAGACTCCGCACCGCGGCCCACGAATCCGGAGAATCCGCTATTCCGCCCCGAGGCAACCACCTTTCCCACGTGCCTCAGTCGCCGGGGAAGCGCTACCCGACGTGTCCGGCGACGGGCTCGCCCCTGCAGCGCTCCTCCGCCGAGGCG